AAGTAAGTAAGTAAGTAAGTAAGTAAGTAAGTAAGTAAGTAAGTAGGTAAGTAAGTAAGTAAGTAAGTAAGTAAGTAAGTAAGTAAGTAAGTAAGTAAGTAATGTAGTTAAATCAATTACTTTGATAGGTTATAAATACGCTTACTTACTTATTTACGCCTATTACTCCACGTCGTGTAGTAGCATAGGCCACTCAAGAGCATTCTCCATCCAACTCTGTCCTTAACAATCCTTTCCAGTTCTTCCCAGTTATTGTTCGTTCTTTTGATGTCTACCTCCAATTCCCGACGCAATGTGTCATTTGGCCTTCCTGCTTTCCATTTCTCTTCAGAATTACAGGTTAGCGCTTGACTCGTGATGCAGTTGAGTGATTTTCACAATGTATGTCCTGTCCACCTCCAGTGTATTTCCTTAATTTCCTCTTCAGCTGGAAGCTGGTTCGTCCTCTCCCACAGAAATCTGTTACTGATGGTTCCTGGCCAACTGACATTCAGTATCTTGCGTAGACACCTGTTTATAAATACTTGTGACTTTTTGATGATGGTTGTGGTAGTTCTCCACTTTTCAGCTCCGTACAGTAGGACTGTGTTGACGTTCGTATTGAAGATTCTGACTTTGATATTGGTTGACAGTTGTTTTGAACCCCATGTACTCTTTAACTATAGGAATGCTGACCTTGCATTGCCAATCCTTACCTTTACAACTGTGTCAGATCCCTAATTTCCAATAAATAGAGTTGTATAAAATACAATAACTTGTCATTAGTAAGCTAAAGAACTAAATGACAAGTGTTTATTGTATTCATAGGATCGTTTGTTGAAATCTGTTTGTAATTGATTGAAATCGATCCAAATTCACTTTAACTCAATGTGTTCAACTGATCACATTGAAAAAAATAAATCAATTACGTCATACTAGTAACAATTATCCTATCACTCAAACAATTGAATCAGATCTACCAAAAAATGAACATAGTATGGAAAAGATTCGAGGTAGTAGTAACCGAGGCTTGATTGATTGTTATGCTGAATAATTAATTATTGAAAACTAATATTTACGGAAATAATAACACTACGAAAATCAATAAAAATGAATTGTTAACTTTTTAGGGATTTGTGGAGATTGTTGTATATTCAAAGCTGAATTCATGAGTTAATCTAATCTAGATCACCATTGAAAACCTGGAAACACTGGACATCATTAATTCAACTGTGAAAACACTACAATCTTTTTAAATTCCCAAAATTGATATTAATTATTTGCTTACTAGTGAATAGCTCCAAGACGTAACTCTTAAAGTTCTAGTGAGAAGCTGGGACCAGTGGGTGTTAGACAGTTATCTACCTCAGACAATGGATGAAGAGTTAGGCAAGGTCACAGATCGATTGAAGCTAGGCATTAACACTGTATGATACCGGCTCAGTGATTTATAGGTTGTGTTTGTGTGCGAGACCGAAGGTCCTGGTTTCGAGCTCCTCATGCGGGATCGTGGATGTGCACTGCTGAGGAGTCTCGTACTGGGTCGAACTGGTCTTCCAGTGCTTCCAGGTTTTCGATGGTGGTCTAACTTATATTGACTCGCGAATTCAACCTTTGAAAAAAGAATTAGACAAATAATGACACGTTGTATTGATTGATCGTTAAGTAATAACCAGTACCGTATTTGTTTAGACCTAAGTGGTGATCGAATTCTATGAATTAAGTCGTATTCAGTGGTCTCAGTGAACCAACTCACATAATGTAAATAAGCAAGCGACATGCAAATGTTTTTTTATTTATATGGAACTTCGTGGCAGTATGCACTTACAACCAAACAAGAAATTGAACTCAGGATGTTCGAGTTGACATTCCTGTTATATCTGTTACGTACTTGATCTGTCTATCCACTTTTGTGCAGAGGATAACTTGTCTAATCTAGATTGAAACCTTGACGCGATAGGCTGACTGGCTTAAACTTGAGGCTAGTATGCATGAGTTCGAAGTGAGACCAGTTGCTTGGGCTAGAGAGAAGAAAACTACTCTATCACTTGATTGACTGACAAGCGCACGAGAGAGAAGACAGGTCAGCTGGAACACTACATGATTTATTTCCAATTCCCGATTGCGGATTAGTGTAAAAAGATACATGAATAAATAAATGACTAACCAAACCACAACGCACAATAATCAGGAAAATACAATTATGTCCAAAACTGGAGATTAGCGTAGAAAATAGAGTGCAAAATATTACGTTTAAATTACAATAACTTTGGAACAAAAAGAGCTATGGCAGTGAATCATACATCAAATGAAATCTTATGATCTGTAGAATGAGACTAAGGACAAAATAAATATTAATGTTTCAGAAGTTTTGAATTAAATGAAATAATGTTCCGAAAAATAGCTCCCGTAGTTTGTTAAGGCTTCTTGTTTCTCTGCTCACATTAATATCATAAGTAGATTGAAATTGGAATTGAATCACTACTAAACATTGATCTATTGATTCGAATGGTCAAATGTTTACATGATAATTAGAGATCTTGGTTTCAATCTCTGATGATGTCACAGATAAACATTTCTACCAATTCTCAGATCAGTATAAAACACCTATCAAAAGTTACTTAATTTTCATTAGTATCCCAACATGACGTTCATCATTGATCAAATGCAACATGGAAATTTTATTGAAATGATATAATTCTTCTAAGATTTATATAAGAGTTCACAAACTGAGAAATATCTTCTCCCCTCTCCTCTTTTTTCTTTTCTTTTATCTTTCTCATGTTTTCATTATTTACAATATTGCTTTCATAATTTAACTACCGTCAATCTTTACACACTAATACACACACACACACACAAATATACACTGGTCATCTGAACAAGTTTTCACACAAATTAATATGGCCCATTGTATACATTTATCCAGTTAATAATAATAACAGTTTATGCCTATCATCATATTACTTTATACACATAGAAATCAACTTAACATCTTTGAGAAAATGGGTAACAGGTATGTTTTTTATCCACTTCTATTCACTAATAAGAGAGAAAGAGAGTGAGTGAGAGTAAAAGAGAGTGAGAAGCGTTAAAACAATTAAACAGATGGTATATTTAATAATCATAATGTACATTGAACTCATTCATCTATTCATTATTATTACTACCAATAATACTCTTAGAAACATTGATGTTTTCTAAGGAAAGATGATTGATTACACCGACTTAAATTATCGATTAATATTTTTTGGAAAGAAAATAAATAAATAAATATGCAGTTATATATTCTGTGGTATATAGAAACAAACATCTGTCACCGACCGACAGTTTTTGGTCGGGGTGAACTTAAATTTAAAAGTTGCCGCCGTTAACATTCTTTTCAATAATAATAATAATAATAATAATAATAATAATAACAATAATAAATTTGGAGTCATTTTCTTGTATCGTATCAATTAAATTCAATCTAGGCGATAATAATAATGTTTGAATACATTAATCAATGAATTTGTTTATAATAACTATATTTCTAAATTAAGCGAAATTGTATTTTGAATTTGGCGGCTTTCTCAAATGTTTCAGTTACCTAATTATCAATTGTATAAATGTTCATAATTAAGCTTGTATAGTTTATATTTGAGTAAATTAGATAAATATAAATGTTAATTATATATTTACTTATATTGTATTATTGAAAAAAAAGTTCCCTACAAAATATTATGACATTATATAGTGGAAGCTTCAAATAGAAACGCTACAACAGTTGAGATATGTTCCGTCTTGTCAACCCTTTGAATAGGACATAATGGGATACATGTATCTTATATATAATGTAAGAAATATAATTGTAACAACTTAACGGGTAGAAAAACTATCGTAATTGAGAATGCGACCGATATTTATCGTTAAAACCATATATGAAACATAGATTGTAACTGTCAGTGTAATCTAAGACTCCTGTTTCACTTTATTTGAAACTCTTCAGCTGTATATACTTTAATCTGAGGTAAAATTCATATTGTGATTCGAACCAACTACTTTTTGCTTTAAATTTTTAATACTTTATCAATTGAGATATAGATATTAGATTGTAAGATGAGTATAGCATTCATTATTATTATTATTAATAAATATTTGGATTATTCCGTTGTTAAAATGGACTACTGAATGTTGATTAAGACAATCCGTATCGAATCCACGTAGACCATTAAAGACTTGTTGGAATTTAGTCTCAAACCCTGATTAATGGTGATATTTATAAAACATCTTTCTGACTAACTACACACTGAAATTGTGTTAAATAAAAATTTGTGATAATACTACACAATTTTTTGACTTAATTTTAAACAACCAGTGTAAAGTGGATAGCATTGGTTAGCTGTTTCTTTCTATTATAGAATTCCTAAATAGTACTCCACAACCTCATAACTGAGGATCAGATCAAAGACTTTCAGATGTCACAAAGAGCCATCATTCTTGAGATCACTAAGGGTCCAATGAATGGTGAGAATATCTAGCTTTAAACACTATTCACAATGTCAAACAACTATCCTCTATTGTGTTAGAGATACAATTAGCCAACATGATTGAACTCAACTAGTTACGGTTTTTCATGTGATACCTTGGAATCGCCTTTATTACTTATCCCCATACCAGAACGACATAACCATTTATCACTTCTTGGTTTTCAATCGTTATCCGACTATAGTCTATCTATTATGTTTGGTAATGAAAGTTCAATAACGACCACAAACCCCTATTACAGTAGGACACAGTCAGCATTGAAATTTCCTTACTTTAACGAAATTTACTGTATTGAATTAACGAACTGACCAAAACTAGGTAACAATCGGAAACCTGGAATCATGATACAGTTGTATCACACATAAAACCAAAGATCCTGAATTTGACTCAATACACTTACAAATCAGTTGCCCGGTACTTCTACTTTTTCACTAGTTGTTTAACTTAGATTAATTTGTCATCTCAATCAAAATTCAACAACAAACTTCACAAATTCAATACTGAAAATTCATTATAATGGATAAAGCTTCAATATTATTATTATTATTATTATTATTATTATTATTGTTGTTGTTAGTATTAGTAGTAGTAGTAGTAGTAGTAGTAGTAGTAGTAGTAGTAGTAGTAGTAGTAGTAGTAATAGTAGTAGTAGTAGTAGTAGTATTACAAACAGGATTAGTGATAAAACTATGAAAAAAACGTTATTAAGCGACACATTGATCAACTTGTATATACTACTTTTTAATAAATTTCAAAGTTTATTTTACCGATGAACAATCTACATATCTGGCTCCTTATGATTTGTTTAAATAATTCTGTTTCATTTATAGAATTCTTTCCGCTACATAGTGTATTGGGATACATTGTTTTTTTAAAAAGAAAGCCATATAAGTGTTCAACAGTAGTCTAGATAATTCAGTAAAAAAGATAAAGTTTATTAGAATTATATATGATGTTGTATTGGGGTAATACATTTAGAATAATAATAATAATCTAATCACACATATATTTCTTAAAACAATAAGAAAATGATATGAAAAGTAATGTATAGTACTTCATACTAAAATAGTAAATCAATGTAGACTAATGTGGATCCAAAGTGAAAACAAACTATTTTTGTATATGAAATGTAAACTTTATACTTTGTTTGACTAAAGTTTCAGTACATATTAGTATACTTTGAGGGAGTTTTCTTCTCTGAGCTAGATGGTTTGGTCGTGGAGCTTTTATCGTTCTTCTGAACGAGATCAACGTCGAGGTGTACAGAACAAGCTGTGAAACGTATATGGAGAAATTCGAACACTTCATTTCTATCTGAAGTTTGCGTTGATGATGTCGTTCAGAAGAACGACGAAAGCTCCATGACCAAACTATCCAGCTCAGAGAACAAAAATCCATGAAAATCATCCACCTGAGCTACAAATCTTCTCAACCATCTCATATTAGTATACTCTTTTTTTGTTGATATTCTTATATAACATAAATCTATAAAGGTCAATCTTATGAACAATACCAACCAAATGTTTATTTCCGTAGATCTCATTTGACTGTTACATAAAATAATTTGGAAAATAGTGTCAAACATAACTACTGAATGTTTGACAGGTACATATTGTTAACGATGAACTCATTTTCAAAAAAGGATTATATGTGAGTGAATTAGGAATTGGCATTATGAAACTGTTCGAATAAATTTTGCTCCTAACTACAAGTTACTTTCGAACAACTTATTTATTGATTAGCCTTTTAAGGACGCAGTCATTTAATTGAAAACCTATTATTCAGCTGTGTATTTAAACTTTGTAGTTAATGCATTTATTCAGATGTTTTGATTGAGATCGTGAGTCGATCAATGTTAGATCATCATTAAAACCTGGAAGCATTGAACATTAACACCGTTGGATGCTGGCTCAGTAGTCTAGAGGTTAGACATTCTCGCGAGGCCGGTCTTGAGTCCTGGACCCTCGTGTGGGATGGATGTGTACTGATGAGGAATCCCATGCTAGGACGACTCCGTACATGGGACTGGAATCCAGGACCTTAGGTCTCGCTCACGAACGCTTAAGCTATAGACCGATGAACCGGTATCCGACGGTGTTAATGCCTTGAGCAACCATTCATCCACTATCCGAAGTAATTAGCTGTCTCACACACAACACGGATTGGACTCCACTGGTCACGGTTTCTCACTAGAATTCCAAAAGTTACATCTTGAAGCTAGTCAGTAGTGAGCACGTGATTATCATCAGAATGGGGATTTATGGAGTTTGTAGTGTTTCAACGGTTGAATTCACTAGTCGATCTAAGCTATGACATCATTGAAAACCTGAAAGTACTAGACGTTCGTTTCGTCCTAGGATGGGACTCCCCAGAGATACCGACATTCCTGACTAAACTCTATCGAACAAGTTTTAATGTGGCCATTAGTCCGAGCGACTCAACATTGTGTGCACTAAATTGAGATGTTAGATAATGATTGAATGTAATTGATCCGCTATCAACTAGTAGCCTATTGATAGAACCCTAAACAGTTTGAAATCTAGTGCAATGGCTTTTTGTCAACTACTATCAAATCCAGTCTTTAATTAAATTCCCATTTATATATTATTTACAATTCCACAAAAGAATCAATTTGAAATCAAAAAGTTGTGTCCGATCCTGAGGATCACCATTGCTGGTGAAAGTAGTTACACAATGTTCTCCAGCTTTCCAAAAGTTATCTAAATAAGGTTTGTAGATAATATAAACTACGATACCCGATAGTCTCCAAAAATCCTTTTCAATAGTGATTCATTTTCGAAGGTGATTCCTGGAGTCCCGATGAGATGTTGTGAGCAGTGGAATTCAACTATGTTGGATGTAAATCAGCTACCCATCATTAGCACTGCAGGATGATTGCTTGAACCACAGGTTGGTTGAAATTAAACAATATAGGGCAGTGGGTGCTAACCCAATTGTCTAAATTTTAGCCTAGTCTAAAGTGCTAGCCTGCAGATTTGATGATCTTGGTTGTGTTCACTGCAGTGATCGTTGATGCTTATACTACTGAATCTCATACTATGTTGAGTCAGCTGCCCAATGCTTTCTGCCATTTGATGATCGTCTAATTCGATCAGACGACAAGCTTGAACCTTAAACTTACTGGCTGAAATTTAAATGATTTGTTTAATAAATTCCTTTAAAGCATTAAGTTTCATTTTTTTCTATTACCTATAATTGATTTATTATTTTGTTCGAAATACCGTAATCATGAATTGATTTTCTCCCTTATTCAGACCACTTACATCACGCTATCAGTAACAACGATAATAATCAAGATAATTAATGCAACTAAATTCAATCGGTTTATGAAACAAATAGGTTCCAACTTATAGATTGTTTTGTTCTATATGCGTCATAATGATAGTGATTTATTTTACTCATGTATTTCATTCAATATGTTTAGCATATATACAATGGATATGTAATCAGTACAGTAGATTAGATATAGACTTATGTGAATATTTAAAGAAAAAATCATCATTGAAGCAAGTAGTTGAGCACATTTTCTTAACATCATAGTCTATAATCACTGAGTCAGTGAATTTCAAAGGATTTCGATATTATCACTGGTTTTTGTTATTGACAGAGTCGTTTGTTATTACAGTGAGGTGTCATGGAGACTAATGAACTTGAAAGTTTACATCACCAATTGATTTTCATTAGATAATCATTAAAAACATAAAAGCATTGAACATTTGTTTTGTCCTAATATGGTACTCCTTATTTGTAACCAATTACCAAAACATCAGGAATTGCAAATGTTTGTCAACTATGTTTTACAGTTGATTAATTCCACTATGGATTACATAGAATTATGAAAGGGAAGAAGAAACGAATACATTTTTATGATGATTAGGAGTATTTGAATTATAGTACGAACTATAAATCCCAGAAATAACGCAATTAGATCAAGAAGTACTAGATAAGCACGAACGAATGTACTGTATTTGGAATTCGAAACCAAGTATTCAATAAGTACCAAAGAATCATTAGTTCATTCAAACACCACAATTTTCCAAAGTTTTTAATGTACATTGAAATGTTTGAAAGATAAATCTAACTGAAAAGAACTGATGAAGAGATATATGGGTTAAGTGTTGGATAAATGTTAGTTTTAGTTTGACAGATAGCTCAATAAAATATTTCTGGGATTAAGACATGCATAATACATGTGCGTAGAAACTATACCCACTTCAAAATTTTAAGAGTTAAGTAGATAATTAGACAGAGATTGTGACTAGATCATTTTCTATCATTAGTTCATGAAGATATGAGTGACATAGAGAAATGCGGAGTTCTTAACTCGATGTGTAGGAGGATGGATGGTTAAACAAAAGTTGTTTTAAAATTTTACTCCATGTAAGCAGAAATCCGTAACAATAGTGTAGTTTAATCCTTGACTGATTTAGTTCATTTTTCTATATTTATTAACAGCTTGTGTTAGTAATACAATGACCCAGTCAAACATTGAACCAATGAAAGAAGCCTATTGGTAAAAAATTGTCTTACTTTTCTAAAGAACGAGACACGTGTGATATATATATATATTGTATCACTTTTGATATTAAAGGTCACATCTCAATCTCGATCTTCCCACTCAAGTAGTTGGTTGGGTTCGTGCATAGAAAACTTGTGTATCACTATCAGCTCGACAGCTCAGCATGACAGTAATGGATTATGATTTTTGATTCGCTAAACTGAATTAATTGAATGTTGACCGATAATGAAATACAATGATGGTATGGCCGAGTGATGGCCATTTTTGTCGTAAACCCTAGAATAATAAACTGATGATAACAAAGGCAAGACCACTAAGAGGAAGAATAAATTGTTTATTAAATAAAATGAAATATTCATATACAAGTTTTCTCACAAAAACAAACTTGGCTAAACATTACAAAATCCATTGAGAGATATCAGTTTTGTAGGTCACTTAGTCTCCAATGTACTAATACGACTGCTAGGTTTAATTCTTGCTCAGCATATCGATTATGCGTATTTCAACTCCTTCATGACTAATCTCGAGAATTTCTTTTGTTCTATATGTTCATATGGGTTATTGACAACTAAGGGATGTAGGTTAATACATACCCATCTCGTTATCTCACTTAGGCTATCTATAACATTAACGTGTACACAATTTTTAACAGTTTACGGACTTTTAAACTATATTGGTGCTTTAGAATTTGTATTTTCCCGCTACTAACGACAAGGAATACATGCGATCAACCTCAACTGACATCGGTACAGGCTAAATGCATTGCCTTAACTAAATGGCAACAACAAGAGAATCTTCTGAGGACATATATATGCCAACAGAAACTAATCATTAGTATTCTTTAACATCAGTAACGGTTAATTACAAACCGTTACAAATAAAATAACACTTGTTGAGAAGGATAGTGAATGTCTGTACTTATTGGCTTAATGAACGATACGTTGATGTTTAAGGAAATTAGTGTTTAACTTTAGTGTAAACATCAACACAGACATGATGATAAACCAGTTGAAGAGCTATAAATAGAATGAAACATACATTCTTGTTTTCACTGTTAACTATAATTCAATTTTATTAAGATAATTACATTTAGTTCGTATCTTTTAGTGTTAGAAGACACTGATTTATGAAGTTATGCTAATATATA